GCCCGTCTCTCGCCACCCCCGCCGCCCCTCCCCCTCCCCCCCCTGGGGCTCGACAGCATGGCTGACGCCCATTCCACCGTTCCCATCACCGCGTCCCAGGCAAGTCCAGTCCTCGTTCGCGCTCTGTTCACCTCTCATTTTTTCCCCCCAGTCGTCGCACGCGAGTGACCAGAGCACTAGCCCGCAGGCCCAGCCAGGCGATCTCCAACTGTCCCCAGGCGGAGGAGTCACGAACACAGACGCCGACCTACAGGCCATGCTGCCCTCGTCCGTCCCAAGTGGATCGGACTCGCACACCGAGAGCGATGCTCCCCCTGCTGCAGATCACTCTTTTACTCCAGACTCAGTAGGACCGGCTCCTTCCTCATCTGACCAGCCCGAGTCCTCCACTGCGGCTCATCTGCCAGCACAACCAGCACCAGCATCGGAGCCAACCGCACCATCCCCGGACGTGCAGCACAAGGACGACGCTCGGAAACAAAAACCTGCAAATTTAACGATCAATGCCCCTTCGGGAAAGCGTCGCAGAGAGCGGGAAGCCAAGGAAGTGTCTGATGCCGCGGCTACCGTGTCCACCACAACAGAAACCCCGCTGACTTCCCACTCTGCCCGAAACAAACGCCCACGGACGTCCCTGCTCGCCAAGTTGTTCCATATATGCATGCCCTGCGTTCGCCCCTCGGCGCGCGACCATGACATCGACCTCGACGAGGGCGCTACCCACTCACCCGCCGCGGACAAGCAGCCGCCTAAAGAGCCGGAGAAGGAACAGTCGACTCGTGAATCGTCCGTGTCCAGCGCTGGTGAGTGCTTTCATTCGACGAGCTCGCCGTCACAAACCTCATGATTCTGCCTCCTCAGTGATGCCTCCCTTGACGCCGGCTCCCGTTCTCATGCCTGCTGGCCCCCTCCCCGACAGTGACGCTGACGTGATGATCCCGCCGACTCCGACGCAGCTTCTGCCCCAGGCGGAGACCCAGGGCGTCACCGCAGGCGCTGTGCAAGCACCCGGGTCCACTGGGCACGACATTACCATTGAGCATACTCGCAGCCAACAGACTGAGTCTGGCGACGAGTCTGATGGTTCTTTCACGGAAGAGGACATTCTCAGGGATTTAATTCACATAGGTGCCGACGCAGAGGAGCAAATGCTCATTCGCAGAGGCGGAAATGGAATTCCGACTGATTCTGTAAGTTGTGGCTATATGCGTGCTGATCGTTCGCTCACGGGCCTGTCGTGACAGGACGGGAAGCCACAGCCTCTACTCCCGCCAATTGCTCCGGAATACGTCGGCAAAAAATGTCTGGTGCTTGATTTGGACGAAACTCTGGTCCATAGCAGTCTGAGGGTAGGCCGATGACCCGCTCGTACTGTCGTTTCGACTCTGACCTCCGCCCGCTAGCCTGTGCCATCTCCAGATTACATCGTCCCAGTCGAAATCGAGTCGTTCTGGCATAATTTCTATGTCCTCAAGCGACCCGGAGTTGATGGGTTCCTGAAGAGGATGGGTGAGATTTATGAAGTGGTCGTGTTTACCGCAAGCCTCAGCAAGGTACGCACCCCATGCTTCCCTTGTCGTCACTGCGTGTTGTCGCATCCTCAATTTGCGTTGTGTCGCTGCATGCGGTGTTTCAGTATGCCGATCCGGTCCTCGACAGACTTGATCCAGATCATACGGTCGCACACCGTCTGTTCCGGGAGAGCTGCTACAATCATCGCGGAAACTACGTCAAAGTGAGTCGGTTCCGCGAAGCGTGTATCAAAGCAGCCGTTCATTAATGGCCCCGTTATGAACCGCCTCACGTACAGGATCTGTCACAATTAGGCCGACCGGTTTCCGAGACGATCATCATCGACAACTCGCCCGCGTCGTACATCTTCCATCCCAACAATGCCGTGCCAATATCATCGTGGTTCAACGATCCGCACGACACGGAGCTTGGCGACCTCTGCCCCTTCCTCGCGGATCTGGGTGGCGCGCCAGGTGACGTGAGGGGAATTCTCAATCCCTCCATATAGCACCTCGCAGGTTGGCCGCCCAAAAGGACTGACGTCCGGCGCGTCAGGCCAGCGCTGGCCGTCAGGCCGACTGCTCGTTCCAGCCCGCCGCCGGGCGCGCGCACCGCGCGACTCTGCCCGAACGGCGCACGCTGCATCCGCTGCGCTCAGCCTGGACGCCGAGCCGTTCCAGTCTATCGTTCCTTTTCACTTCATCAATCAGCATTTTGTATACCCCGCAATCAAGTGAGTCGCGTGCGCCGATCGCACAGTGGGAGCGCCGCTCATGTGCTATTGTTATTGTTAATGTGTGCTACATAGGTAACCGTTCACTGTCCGCCGGCGCGGACACGCACACTCACCCGTTCGTTCGTTTGTTTGCTCGCAGCAGTGCTCACTCTCGCTTGATCTACCACCGTTCCTTGCCAATGTACGTTACGTCCCGCCCGGCGTGCGTCCCTGCGCGGCTGCTGACCGTGTGCGCGCAGGTATCTCTCATATCTATTTTGTGATACCCCTTCTTTGGATCCATGGCCGGGCTTCATGCTTGTCGCGATGTCGGGTTTTCCATGTGACGCACCGATACGAAATACATGATGAATCGTTCCCAATCTCCGTGTGCAGATGTGCTGCGCCGATGCATGCTGCGCTCTGGTTGTTGCTCCCACGGCGCGATCGGCCAAATGGGCTGCTGATACAGGCGTGCCGTCCTCTGCGGACGATGGTCGTTCCCGGAGGCTCCTGGCTGTCGGCACCCTCTGTGTCCGAGATGTGGAAGACGGCCCTGGCCATTCTGAGTGAGATCGAGCTCGGGCACGGGACGCTAGCGGCTGGGGCTGGGGG